ACCAGGCCTGAGCTAGTGACCTAAGTAGTTAGCACAGTCTTCCTGGTCGGGGAACCAAGAAATGTTGCAGAAGAAATGGCACTGAGAAGGTTTAGAAGGCAGATTATTACACTGATGGGCCTGACTGGGATCTCTGTCCCAAGGAGTTAGAGCCCTGCTCAGTGGGGTTGTGGGACTTTTATAGGGAGGACAAGCGGGGAGGTTCAAAGGCAGATCTGGTGCATTGTGATTGGAGGATTGAGTGACATGATGGGTTGCTAGGGGAGTTTAAACACCTCAAATTACATCGCAAGGCCATCAGTTAAATAAGCATGGGTTATAAAAAGGAAGAAATGTCCCATTATCAGGCTTTTGTGGACATGTCCATCTGGTTTTGGCAGGCATTCTTGGCAGGCTTTATTTAAATTTTTAATTTCCCTTTCAGTACTATTTACAGCACTGTATATTTTACTGTGAATCATACTGGTATATGCACCGTCTCCCTTGATCTTCATGATAATCCTTGGACAGAGGCAGAAGAGATCAGAGGATCTGTGTTTAGATACTGTTGTGATTTTGTCAGAATCACATATATTTCTGCATGTAGATTCAAGTCATATGACTTGGCTTCCATTTTCAGACCCTTTTAAATCAACATATTAAACATATTAAATCAGCATACCTAATACCAGTTTTAACTGAAACATGCTTTTCTTTTCAAATTTAAAATTCCTATAATACTTTATCATATGTAGAGTCACTAGTAAATTATAATTTAGCATTTAAGGAGGTTGGGTTTATACTGTCTTGTCCATTCTTCCCATTTAAATTAGGAAATGTGGAAGAGCAGTAACATAATATTATCTGAGAATTTTAAACTTATACTAAAAATATGTCCATCCAGCCATTGACTAGAAAAAGATTGTTTTCTTCTCAACTTTTATTCCTAGGCTTTACACTTAGACAATGGCCAAAGTTCTTAAAATTATCCACAGGGCTTCAGTCAGTCTCATCCTCCCTTTATTGCCACGCCGTTTATTTTGTGTCATGCTGGCGTGTTGTTTGCTTTTTGCCACTTCCTGTCTGTATTAGTCAGCATTCCTTCACTGTGACAAAACACTTTGGAAAATCAGCTTTAAGAAGGAAAGAATATTTTGTTTCATGGTTTCAGAGGTTTTGGCTCTAGAGGGTGCAGTGCACCATGGTAGAAGCACGTGACAGGGAAAATGGGTCTCAGTGGTTCGGGTCCTAATGTCCCTTTCTAGGGCAGCCCGTTAATGACCTCTTTTCCTTCCCCTTCACCCTGACTACTAAAGTTCCACCACCTCCCAACAGCACCCTGTTTGTTTTAAGCTCCATTCCCAAGTTCTCCTCCCAGTTCTCCTCCTTCATTCAAATTCTGCCTACACCCCATACTCCTGACACAACTTCTCTGCCTTTTCCCACCTAAAGCACTCACTACTTTTTAACTTACTGCATATTTATGCTTTTGTCTTTACTGTATATCCATCTCCCTACACAAACAAGAAGGTTGAGAATTGTGTCTGCTTTGTTCACTGTTTATACTACACCCTTGATGTCAACAAAAGCAAGGAACTGAAATGTGCTGTGTACCTATCCCCTACAGCGAAGGTAGTCGGTATGGACTGCAAACATGGACTAATAAAAGTAAAAAAAAATAGAACCAGGAAAACAGTAAACACTCAGTAAGTAGTTGCCAAGTGATAAATTAGGTTTTGAGGTTGAGCTGTCCATAGTTGCCTATGAAACAAATGGAGAAGAATATAAAAAGCAAGCACATAATGCTCACAAAATTAAAAATGCCACAAGATAACTTCACATATATGTGGCCACTGTGAGGATTAGAATATTTACCCCCAGCACTGTGTTTCACTAGCTGAAAACCTGCAATATTTGCAGCGGGGCATTCTCAGCTCACGGGAGATACGAAAGATGAGAGGAATAAGATGCACTGGCATGGGAACGGGACACTTCACCTATGTACGTTCTCCCACCAGTGCCCATAGTATATTTGGGGTCTTGGTCAAATCACTCGACAACCTGTAGTCCTAACTTCTAACTGCATAAAATAAGGTATTCTCTGTACAGTTTCATACAGATTTTTCAGGATTAAGTCAGTTGGAAAAAAGAAGTATTTTGCAAATAGAAAAGCAATATGAAAATGCATACCAGTATGAGTTTGCTACTACTTCTTAGCAAGTGTGTAAGTGATTAGACACCAGAAAAATTACATTATGGCCAACTCTATCTAGCATGTTTTTCTCCGGTCCCGGGAACCGAACTCACGACCTTGCGCATGCCAGGCAGGCGCTTCTGCCGCTGAGCTAAATCCCCAGCCCCTAGCATGTATAACTACATTCTCAGTGGTGTCATATAGGGACCAAAATAAAATATCATTTTAATTTGAAGACGACAGGGACAAACACCTACAATTTGGATATGATTCAACTTGCTATTTTAATATATCAGTAAAAATAAAAGTTAGACTTGGGGTTCAGAAATTAATGTAGTTTTTTTCCTGGACTTTGGTTCATGGTTAGACTTCTGAAGTCACATTTTCTGTATTCTTTCAGTTAAAAAAATCCAACACCAAAGTGATCTCTGAATTTATATATATTTTTAAATTATAAGGGAATCTCTGGAAACTTTTAGATTTTCTTCTCACAATCGAACATAATTCACAAGGTTTATTACATGTTTCAAAAACATTTTGAGAAGTTTTTATTTTAAAAATCCCTCATACCTTGATAGGCATTTTTAGTAAACTCTGACTTATTACTTATGCTAGTATGGTCTTTTACTAAACATCCATTTTTTTGAGTTTTGAAGCCTTGATTTTATCTTCAGCAAACCTAAGTGGATTGGTTAAAGCAGATTATAAATTCTAAGAGGAATAGGATATATCAGAAATGGTTCTGAGGTATGGTATGTGGCCAGCAATCAAATTACAATAAATAAGAGCAATGGTATTTTCATCTCACTCACTAGTTAGCTAACTGATGTTCTTAGTTCACCAGTCTCACAATGAAAAGTAACTATTCCTAAATAAGGCACGATAAGCGAAATGCCAATGCTGAGTTTTGCAATAGTGAATATATTTAGTTTAGTTTCAAAACACTCATTCTTTTCATTCTAGCCATCAAATCTGCTTCTACATCTCAGATTTTGAGCTGGCTGATTCCATATTTTCATAGTATAACTACTCACATACATTGTTTATTAGTCTTTGTATATCTATCATCACTATCTGCTATGGCATCAGTGGAACTATAAATTTACCAAGTCACAGCACTGAATACTTGACATAGTGTTCAATATCAAGATCTTGGGTCTAATCAAGTATTTATTTCAATTGCAAGAAAAGTTCATATAATTTCAGGCTTTGAAGAATCTGAGAAATATTTCTTGTAATATCAAAAATCATTAGCTTTCCAAATCCTTGGAGATCTAGAAAGAGTTTAGTCAATCAGAGCTCTTCAACTCATCCTGTATTTTAAATAATGTTTAAAAAAAACATAGGAGTAATTACTTTTAAAACTTCAGCGACAATGGTGATATGATAAGAATCAATGAAAATGTGCACTATGAACAAAGGTTTTTTTTAATAGAAGAGGAGTCATGGATCATAGATTAAGAAGAATGCCCTTTGTTCCTGGGGCATTATGCTCTCCAAACCATAGCAATTAAATTAAGAATATAAATCTCTCTCTTTCACTCCTTCCCTCTCTCTTTAGAGTCTAGTTATTCCTTCATAACTTTATTTGCATCGTCAAGCCACATGTTTAGGAAGAAAATAAAATTTCTCTAAAACATATCTTATAATATTATAGATATCACACTGATTAATTTTAACTATAATTAAAATTATTCATAATTACAAAAAAATTAGAGAAATTTTAAATATGACAAATTACAAATATGTGCTGTGAGCATTCCTCTCACATCCACTGTGATCACTCATAATTGATTACAGAACTCTTTCCCCTGGCCTAGAAATCATCCAAGAATTTCCATCAAAGCCGACTTGCACTTAGTAATCTTTCTTAGTTATCAAGAAACCTAAAGTATTATCCTTAACTATTTTAATCTTACAGCATAAAATGATTACTTCCTTTAACTCTTCTTTGAGTGGCTTAATAGCACAAAGTAGAAGCCTATTGGATGTTTTAAAAGCAGACAGTTCATTATTTTGAGTTTCTGATTAGTGTAGTAGTGATGGTAGATATAGCACTTGGCATATTTGCTTGCCCTGAGAAGTGAACCAGCACCATAACCCTATGATGGAATGATCAGCTTCAGTAGACTGGATAATGCCCTACATCACTCACTACTGATCATCCAGAGAGTACATTGTGCACAGTAAGCACCCTCGTTCAACCCTCGCAGATTAAGAAGTTGGATTCTCTTCACATATGTCTGCGAGTCCCTGTCACCTCAGTAGAGGACGGCAGTATCTCCCGGTGAGGGCATGCTGGCACTTGGAGAGGGCTATTCCTTGTTTTATAGGATAGTACTTGCACTTCAGGCTAATTAGTTTTTCCCCAATCTGTATCCTCTAAGTCCAGTCCCTCTAAAGTTTAGAGTCTATGAAAAACAAAAATCTACCTACATTTTTAGGTTGTAGGCATAATATAAAGGAAGTATTGTGTTATGTCATCATGTTTTTAATGACATGTATAAGACATGTATAAGGCTTGTACACAAGGAAATATATCGGGCCAAAGATTTTTCTTTTAACCAAGAATAGAAAGGTAATAGCAAACACCAATTCTGAGTATGAGGTGGATAAGGCTGAATACTCTGGATCAAGGAGTAGTTAACCAAAAAAGGAATTAAAGGTTATTTCACAAAAATTCAAAGACTAAACAATATTATTTACTTACTTTTAAAGTGACTGACTGCATAATTGCATGTGTTTTCTGATCAAAGAAAGGCACGTATTGCTGTGGTAGAAGAAGCGTGAATGATGTTTTGCCAGGTCAGGTCTAAAGTGGGTGAAATACATTTTGGGAAAAAGAGTAGAGTTAAAATAAAGTTTAATGATGGAAACAGAGCGTTCGGTGCAACGCTTTTTTACCCATGTTCTTTACATAGATATTGTAACTGTCCTAAGGAGTGAAAAGATCATATACCATAACACAGCCACTCCTGCCTCCCCTGGGAAGCTAAATTGTTAGTTGTTCCCTGTCGAACTCAGGAGTTGGCTGCTTACAATAAAACAATCGCACATATTTAGGGAGTTCTGCTCCGAGCTCTTCCTGTTAATCCTCCTGCGGCTCTTGTTGAGCGGTCCTCCAGAGGGCAGCCTTGCTGCTAGCTCAGACCTTCAGAGCACGTCTCTGAAAAGCAAGAAAAAACGGGAGAGAGAAGGTAATAAGGGTTTCCCGTGAGAGTGCAAAGGAAGCTCACAACTCACACCACAGAGCAGAGCAAAAACTGTAATACATTTTATATCCAAAATTCATTCCTGAACAGGCAGAACTTAGGGTTTCCTTTTCCTCCTGGTCCTTCATGGCTCCCGTAGTGTGTCAAATGACCCAGCTCTGGCCCCAATTTGTAAATAATGCTCCGGAAAACAAAAATCCCTATAGGTGTTTGAGATATTCCTCTTCCTAAAGTGGTCGTAATGGAGCTGGTTCCTTGGAATGTAGGCAGTACTTCACGTTCTACCCTCATACATTACTTGCAAGCAGCTAATCCCAGTACCTCATCACCATACCACAAATGCTCGGGTATTCCACTGCAGGGGAAATGCAAGGAGTTCACAGTGTCTGGAATCCTTGCTCTGGAACGAGGCTGTGTATTTACTCAAGACTTATCTGAGCATCAGTTTCTTTATTTAATCATGAGGGGAAAATATGTATGTGTGTAGATAGATGATAGACAGATGATAGATAGATAGATAGATGATCAATCTTTGAAAGACAAAAATGCTGTGCATATATCTCACCTCCTTCGATTCTATCCTTGCAGCAAATTCAGCAGGTCAGGGGAAGTATTGTCCTCATTTTCTAACCTGGAAAATCAGAGAGATATAGATACTTGCTCCAAGTCACACAGCTGTTGTCTAAAGTAGAATTGGATCCCAGATATTTGCATTTCAATCTAGTGCCCTTTCTCCTGTGTTGTGTCACCTTGTTCATAAGTAAGTGAACATAGAAAGCAAAACACATCCTAAATTTTTAAAAATGAATATCACAAGTAAAAGCTCCCACTAGAAGAGAGGAAGTGAGAAAGTATTCCTTTAAAATTTAAAACTGAACAGGGAAACAATGTTTTAAGTAATAAGACATGGCTGAAAATCAGCAAGTTCATTGGATTACACATTCTTTGCCGTCATTGACTTCCTTATTCTAGGAAGGAGAAAATCACTTTTTTATTTAGAGAGTTTTTACCCATTTGTATCAATGTTTTAGTATGTCCTTGTGTATAATTATTTGTGGTGACAGTCATCCACTCCAGCGAAATCTACCAGGTAGTTTCTCTCAACAGACACCTAACACCCTTATCCGGAGACACAGGTTGAGTTTCTTTGTCGCTGTTAATGCATCACAAGGCCTCCCAAACAGAGCCTGGAATATAGCTTTATGAAAAGCAGCCGAACATGTAAAGATACAAAATCAAGAAATTGGAAAAAGAGAACTTCAGACTCTTTTTATAAATTTTAAGGAACAAAAACCAAGAACAGCTAATTCTCCCTTTTTATTCTAAATTTAACGAGGCAGCCTAGGATACCTGTGAATCTGTATTACAACGGAATCAATCCTGAGGCCAGGACCAGCTTTCCTGCTATCTGCAATAAAATGTAACACTGCACTCACTACGGAAAGACTTTATTAGATGAATAGGAAGAGGTGTTTGAAAAACACTGATTCTAATGATAATATAAAATATCTTTGCTTGGGTTTTTCTTTGTACTGGGAATCAAACTCAGGACCTTGCACTTGCCGGGCTGGTGCTGTGCCTCTGAGCTATATCCCCGGCCCCTTCCAGGTATTTTTAACCTGGAGTCCATGTTCAGACAACTTTCAGCTTTTTTTTGGTTGGTTTGTTTTTCTGGCTTCCTTGACCGTCACCCTGGAGAGCTCTTGGAGGTTTCTCAGTTGGAGGGCTCACTGCTAGCTCTAAACTTCTTACATACGATTTCATACTGAATGTCTCTCCTGGACTGTCCCATAGACATTTCAAACATGACATCTCTGAAACGCAAGTCTTCATTGTGTCCATAGTTTCATGACTCCCACATTTAGGCTCCCACATCTCTCCCGACTCTAAGTAGTACACAATATTCTAAGGTTGGCTAATCTGTTGGGTAATATTTCATTTAACATTTTCTAATTATCATTAATTGTATCAATTGTTTGCACATCCACCTCCCAATTAAACTGTAACTTCTTTGCAGTTAGGCATTTGAGTTCTTATTTTTATTTCCACAGGTTTTGAAACAGTATCCAGAGCAAACTCGGGATCAATAACTTCCCATTTAATACATGCTAGATGAACAGATTCATCAGAACCTCAAAGGTGATGAAAAACTAACCATTTATTAAACCCAAATGTGCCATTATATATAAGATGTGCCACTATTTTATTCATATATATGTATGTAGTTTTTCTTGTTAAAACAAATTTAACTGTTTAACTGTTTTCAAATTTAACTGTTTAACTTGTTTTCTTGTTAAAACAAATTTAACTGTTTAACTGTTAAAACAGTTTAACTAAAATAAAATGCAAATGTTATTATTCATAATATTCACATTTAACAAATATAAAATATTATTCAGGTTTGATAAAGGTAAAACATAAAGAGCTGACACAATTTACCTTACGAAGTTATGTGACGCTAGTTTTGACACCCCTTTGCTTACGCCCAATTCAATTTTCTTCTCAGTGTGTGGCATAGTGAAAAGAAGATTGTTTTCTGTTTTTATTTCAAATCCTGACTTTGTCCTGTAGTACTGTGTGACCTGAGACAAATAATTTAAAAATAGCTCATATTTTATAGAGCTAATTTATAAATTAAATTTGAACAAGATAGTGCACGGTAAATTATCTATTCCTGCATCTGGCATATAGTACACTTGGTGATAAATAAAATAAATAAAATATTATTATTTTTATGGGAAGTATTTAATAAAACTTCAAGGTGAGGTTAAAATTGGATTTACACCTTATTCTTTAAGAAGCATCTTTAAAAAGAGACACACCAGCTGTTCCTTGAGCTCTGCAATATCACTTATTGGCTACTGTCATTTCCCAATGACTGAGGCACTGACGCTGAATGCTGACACCAAAGTGTTAGTTTATGAATCATAAGTTTTGACATGGAAAGAACCTGCAAATTTTAAAATTTTTATTGTCAATTCCATTTTCTCCTTAAAAGCAAGATAAAGAAAAACCTTTAAAGGATCATAATTAGCAATCATGTGATTGTACTTGTCATTTATTTAAGTCGATTGTATAGAGTATCTGTTGAGTATTTTGATATTACAATGTATATCTATCAGTTTTGTTATAGCAGTGCTTCACAAGAAACCACTCACAGCGCAGTGGACCAAAACAGCAATTATTCTTACACCCATGTTTATGTATTGGCCAGGCTTTCCGACTGGTTTTGACTAGGCTTGGTCCCTGCCTACAGGTTATTGTTGGATCTACTCTGTCTTTTATTTTCCTTGGACCCATTACATGCTTTTTTCATGTTAATAGCAGAGGTACACAGATCATGCTCAACTTCAGAAGAATGCTCATGTTTGGGGATTTTTTGATACAACTATCAGTACTGTATCATAGACAATATAGTAGGGTTAATGGCGAAGGAAATACTTGAAGTAGGAAAAATTTCAATAGATAGAAAAGGACAGCCAATTAAACTTAGCCAAGCACTTAACATCAGACACATTACACATGCTATTGTATTTGCCTCTAATAACTACCTGTCTGAAGTGGATGTTGGTATCTACTTTAGAAATAGAGACACAGATAATCAGAGGCATTAAATGATTGTAAGGGCTAAGCAGTGGTGGGGCTGCAATTGGAAGTCAGGTTTCCAGAGCTGTGTGTAATGCTATGACAATCCTGGAAATAGGGAAAAAGTGAACTTCAAAGTGTAAAATAGAATAAACAAAACCTTGAAGTGGTCTCAAATTGCACCCATTTATATACTTACCTGTACAAATACTTCAAGATTATCTTTCTTTATGGGAAACTAATACTCAACTGTGTGTAAATGCCACATTTTCTTTATCCTCTCGTCTGTTGATGGACATAAACACTGTTTCCAAGATGCAGCTTTATAAATTGTACCCTGAGTAACTACTTGGAAGATTATTAGATGCAGTGTATTAACTATTATTATTCTTTTATTATTTTGCTATGAAATTTTATTTTTTCATAAAATTTAAAAAAACAAATATGAAGAAACTCAAGAGAATATCCCACACACACAAATTAAAGGAGGAAAGATTTGTTTTAGCTCACAGTTGTAGAGGTTTCAGCCCATAGTTGGCTGGTTTCATGGCAGGGTTGCTTGGTAGAGAGGCATGGCAGAGGATAAACTGTCCATGGCAGGTCAGACAGGAGGCAGCAGCAGCAGCAGCAAAGCGGCAAGCCTCCCTTTCCCTTTCGTTCCATCCAGACTACAAGCCTATCAGTTCATCCCATTCACACCCAAGATGGGGCTTCTGTTTTCAGTAAATCCATTCAGCCACACCCAGAACCATGTGAATCCAGTCAGTGGACTAATCCATTTATCACACACCCGTAATCCAAACTGACACACCCTAGATCAAGCAACCTCCCAAAAGCTCCACTTATGAAGCTTTGGAAGACATCTAGATATAATTTATAACAAAAGAAGTATGTTTTGGAAAGATTAACAAATACAATTACTTTGAAAATGGGAACTCTGCAGAAAACTCAAGAAGAGATCACAGTAATTGGAGTAAGTAGCAATAAGGATTGACCAAAACTGGTGATGTGCAGACAGAAAGAAGACATACAGAAGACACCAGCCAGGCAGGTTCTCTGGCAACCAGATGGCTATGGGGAACAAGAGAAGAGCCAAAAGTCACTGTGGGGTACTCTGCAGGAACATCTAGAAAAATGGTGGTGCCATAAGAAATGTAGAAGAGGTTAGAAGCAGAGCTAGAATGAGAAGAAAAGAGGTTTGTTCTTGACAGCTTTTAAGCAGTACATAGTAGCACCACATAATAATTACATTCCTCTTGGAGAATTTGTGCATACGCATTATTACATCTCAACTGATCCTTTTCATTCTCATTTCCCCTTCCCTGCTCATCTCTCTCACTCCTTCCCCAGAGCCCCTTCCCATCCCCACTTCCATGTTCCTTACAATTTCTCTTTTACTTTGCTCCTTAAATTAGTGATATTTTTTCTCTCACATTAGAGAAACTATGTGAAATATAATCTGCATCTGATTTATTTCACTTAGAATTATGGTCTCAAGATCCACCCATTTTCTTACAAATGACTCCAATTAATTCCTTTGTGGCTGAGTGTATATATATATTCCATTTTGTATGTATACCACATTTCCTTGACTCATTCATCTGTTGGTGGAAACACACAACACTTCCATAACTTTGCTTTTTTGAGTTGTGCTGCTGTAAACATAGCTATGCATGCACTCTGTAATATAATGACTCTAACACTTTCAGGAAGATACTCAGGAGAGGTATAGCTGGGCCAAGTGGATTAACATTTGTGGGGTTTGTTTTTGAGGAATTTCCATGCTGATTTCAGGGTTTACATTCCTGCCAACAAAGTAAACGGGCTCCTTCCCCCTCCACAGCCTTACCAGTATTTGTTGTTTTCAAGTACTTCATAATACCCATCCTTGGAGGAATAAGATGGAATCTCAGTGTTGTTTTGATTTGTATTTCTCTAGCGGTTAAAGATGCTGCACAATTTTTCATGCACTTACTGTTCCCTTGTACTTTTTGTCTGAGAAGTCTATTTATTTTAACTGCCCACCTTTTAATAGGTCTTTAATTTTGTCGGGTCTAATATTTTGAGTACTTTACATACTCTACATATTAGTCCTCTGTTCAAGGATAGATGGCAATTTTCTTCCATTCTGTAGGCTGTCCTTTCACTTTGTTGATAATTTCTTTTTATGTGCAGTTTTAAAGTTTGATATAATCTCATTTGTTGATTTTTGTGCAACGGGGGTTATATTCAGTAAGTTCTTGTGAATGCCCATGTCTTTAAGAGTTTTGCCAATTTTTTCTTCCAGAAGATTCAGGGTTTATGTTTTTATACTTAGGCCCTTGACCCATTTAGTTTGATTTTAGTACAGGGTAGAAGACACGAATCTAGATTCATTCTTCTGCACAAGGATATGCATCTTTCCAGCATTATTTTTAGAGAAGTTAACTTTCCATCAGTGTATGTAAGCATAACCTTTTAAATAACCAGACAGTTGAAGGCACCTCTGGCTTTGCATCCTCAACTATATTCCATTGGTTAATAGGTCTGCTTTTGTGCCAGTTTTATGCTGTCTTTGTTTATGTAGCTTTGGAGTATAACTTGAAGTCCAGCATTGTAGTACTTTCTTTCTTTTGTTGCTCAGGGTTCTTTGGGTACTTCTAGGTCTTTTCTGACTCCATATAAATTTTGGAATTGTTTTTCTAGTTCTGTGAAAAAGGCTAATGATATTTTAATTGTTATTGCATTAGGCTTTATATGTAATTTGTGGTAATATGCCCATTTTGACAATATTGGTTTTGCCCATGTAAGAAGAGGGGATGTCATTTTATTTTTTAATATACTATTCAGTCTCCTTTTTCAGAGCATTATAGTTTTCATTAGAAAGGTCTTTTGGTTCCTTTGTTAGGTTAATTCCTAGGTATTAAATTTTTTTAGCTACTGTGAATGGAATTGTTATTTTGGTTTCTTTCTTGGTGTGTTCATTGTTGGTATATAAGAATGCTATTGATTTTTGTGTGTTTAGCTTATATTTTGTCACTTTACTGAGTTTGTTAATTAGTTCTAAGTGTTTTCTGGAGGAAGTTTTCAGATCTTGTATGTAAAGTATCATGTCACTTGCAAATAAGATAATTTGACTTCTTTCTTGGGGCAACTTAAAGTCAGAATTTCCCACTCAGATTCCTTTTTTTTTTTCTCTTGCCTAATTGCACTGGTTAAATTTTGAGTACTATAACAGGAGTGGTAAGAGTGAAAATCCTTTTCTTATTTCTGATTTTAGAGGGAATACTTTCAGTTTTTTCCCATGTAATACAATATTGACTGTGGCTCTGTTTATAAATGACCTTTTGCAGTTTAAAATAAGGTTCTTCTATGCCCATTTTTATTAAGGGTTTACCATGGGTGTGTGCTGGATTTTGTCAAAGACTCTCTGTATATATTGAGATGATCATGTGAGTTTACATTTACTTCTATTTATGTGGTGTACTACATGATGTTGAACCATCCTTGTATCCCTAGGATTAAGCCTACTTGATCATGATTTTTTTAAAGATTTGTTGTGTTGTTTCAAGACTCTTATTGAAGATTTTGCATTTATTTTCTTTAAGGAAATTGACTTGTAGTTTTCTTTTTTGTTGAGTCCTGATCGAATTTTGGTGTCAGGTTGACACTAGCGTCAAGGAATGAGTTTCACAATATTGTTTCTCTTTCAGTTTCATGGAAGAGTTGGAAGAGTATTGGTTCTTTCCTGGAGTTCTGGTAAAATTCTGTGGTAAATCATCAGGTTCTGGGATTTCCTTCGGGCTTTTTATTACTGCCTTTATTTCACTGCCACTTATTGATCTGCTTAAGGTTTTTATATCTTCTTGGTTCAGTTTGGGTAAGTCATATATGTCTAGGAAGTTTATCATTTCTTTTAGATTCTCAAACTTACTGTAATATTTTTTTTATTATTTTAGAAATAAAAGGAGGAAAATACTAACAGATCGACAACGTTTTACAAAATAGCAAAGGATCA